AACGACACATTGTTGCACTTGTGCCCTGTATCTGCTCTTCTTTCTGTGAATGAAGCACATTTACCAACACAATGACAATTGGCATTAGAAAAAAAAAAAAATATTACAAAGAAATACAATCATGTCAGCCCTGATGTTAAATCAAAGCCCATAGAGAGCATCCATTTCCTCTTTGGAAAGCCTCTTGATTCCATTTTCTAATTAATTACCGGCTGTAACACCTTGGCTGTGCCAACATGAAGACTGACGTGTCCCCGGGCCCCCAGTCACATCCACCAGCAGCCCCGTCGGCAGGGGAGCTGTGTTTTTAATCACCTGGCCACTGGCATTATCAAGCTGGAGGACCCATCACCTGCGTCTGCAGACAGATGCTTGTTCATTCATCTCTGCCGGAGGTCGGTGTGCCTGAGCAAGTGGCACCCGCTGTGTCCTCAAACCGCTCGGTTTCACGCCTCCATATTTAGAGCCTCTTAAAGGCACCACATACTGCATTTTACCCTCAATGAATCATTACCACATTAGTTATGTGGCATTAGTCTAATTGCTGTAGCCAGAAGACGACTGCGCAGCAGCCTCTTCACTGTATTTTGCCACCATGTAGGTTTGGCAGTGTATCTGTTGGCCTGGCTTACAGCTCTCCTACAGGACCTGGTTCATGGATGTTAGAAACCGGTTCTGTATGGCACCTAACACGCAGCATTAGTCCTGTTTCAGTATTCAAAGCAATTTGAAAATCACATTTGGTGACCTTTTGTACATTAAGACAGTGTTACCCTTATTACACTGTAAACACATGACCACCAACAAGAAGCTATTTTTTGGCAACAGGACCACTTGGCTTATTTTTACCTAAGCATTGCCATTCTATGGGGAGCACATGGGAAACTTCCACTGCACTGTCTGTGTCCTGATATATCGCCACCTCTCTACTGTCAGCTCCAAAAAAAGAAGCTGTTCTGCCATCCTCATGCTGCAAGCCAACAATGGCAAATATACAACAGCATATGGACAAAATACAACATATGGACAAAATATAACATTACTTTTGTAATGTGCTCAGGCCTACACAACAACTGTTAGCAACAATTTTTTATTTTTTGTATGTACTAAGGCTCAACAAAATCTGTCCAAAACAAAACAAATGATGTTCTTGCTCACGGAACACAATTTGTTCAAAGAACAACATTATGAAATATCGCCTAATAATTAAGGAATACAGATTATGATCTCTTTGGTCTTTGTGATGCAGTTTTCAGGAACGAGTTGAAAAGCCATATTTTACACATTTATCATATGAAGAGATAAAAGAGAAGAAATAAAGAGAAAATGATACATTTAATACAGACATGGACCATATTTCCTTTTTGGACACTTCTCTCAGCATGCTATGTTTGTATCCAGGGATCGCCTCATTTTCCAGTTTTCTGTAGGTGCTCACCAAGGTTTTTTTTTCTATCCTCTGAACAGCTGTTTATCAGCATTTATACTGGTCCATCTGCATTTGATAATATAACAAATACAGGTCAGATAATATGTCTTACAATATAAGACCAAGGTTTAGGTTCCATACACAAATCAAGAAGCTTTGCGAATGCACCGGTGACTTGGGTTTGGCTGTATTTTGTTTCCACACAGCAGAGAGAAAATGATTGGGGCAGAGGAGGCAGCCAGATGGCTGTGTAACATCAGTCTCTCTCTATAGAAAAACAACAAAAAACTGTGTGCCATCATGAGCAATTTGCTAAGCTGTTGAACTTTTGTCAACTTTGCCAACACCACTCGGCCACTTTGAACGCTGCACTTTCCCAAACACTTTGTATCAACTTCCTGGAAACTTTCCATTAACTTTTCATGTGGAAAGATGCCGCTAAAGGCCGTCAACAAAGCCTAAACATTGAAATTAGTGCTTGCTGTGTGATGAACTGACTGTTGTGGAATTCTGCTCCTTCAAAAGAAAACTAACACCCCCTGAAAATCTTGCTGCACATCCATTGGTTTTACTTCTCACCTCGCGCCCGTGATAAGAAAGCCCACTCCAGGGTCTTAGTACAGAGGGACATCACTGTTGGGTGTGGTTACAGGTGCAACAGAGCACATTGACCCCACCCATCAGTAATGCTCGCTCTGGGCGGAGATTAGAACGGGCGCTACAGAGAGATCAGTAATAAATGTTGCGTATAATTGTCCCAGGCTGTACTTCAGCATGGTGCAAGTTTCACATTGTCTTCTCAAAGTTGACATCAGGTGGTCGCCAAAGCGATTCTATATCTCGCCTCCTTAAAGGAGCTATTGCTTCATTCAACTTTAGCGTCAACAGTTGTTTACTTACCAGACTTGCCAAGAGCTTCAGCCATCGTTGTGTTTAAAAAAACAAGAGGTTATGATACATCCTCTGAGTAGTGCTACTTCTTCAGAGAAGACTGGAGGCCACAGTGACTTTGTATTGGAAAGTGACGAGACAGTCCGACTGGGCCAGGGCTAGCTAAAGAAAAAAAAGTGATAGACACAGAATCAAAATGAAAGGGTTATTTTCCACCACTGGAGACAGCTCTTGGCGAGTAAAGGAATGAATGTTTCTTCCACACTGGTAAGTAAATGGCTGCTTATGCTAACGTCGGCTTTGTAGCGTTATACTGCTTTCAGACAGAACGCAGCAACGGCACAGCTGCGTTCTGAAACCCATTATTTTCTAACGGCTTGCACTGCGCCACGGCGGTTTGTGACATCCAGTCCAGCGAGCTAGCACGAGCGCCACGGTCAAAGTTCAACTAGGTTCTGCTAGGTTGAACTTTGACCGCAGTGTCAACCATCTGCACAGCAATTGAAATACGTCACAAAACAAAAATGGAGAAGAAACTGATCCTTTGTGTCTCTGAAATATAAGCCCTCTCTTGGCGACAGATTTCTACCCAAGTAGGCATGTCAGGTGTGTTTTAAGATATGCAATCTCTACTTTAACTTTACCCAGTTTGAGAAAAAACAACTTAAAAAAAAGGGGGGAAAAAAGTAATTTTCTGTCGTCAGTGAAAAAAACCTAGTTAATGAAATACCAGTTCACACATTGCTTACTTACTTACATAGTGTTCTCTTTGTATGTGCACTGTACATTACAGCATGAGTATGCATTTGTTATTTCAAAGACCACGTTGCTGTGCCTGTTGAACAGATTTATTTGTTGGGATGAAGGCAATATGGTCATCTGGCATTAAAGAGCTATAATATTCACTGGCTCAACGCAGCACTCATCTTGGTAATTATATGGAATAAATGCTGCGTGTAATTGTCCTTCTCATAATACAATTCATTTTGTCATCAGTTCTGTTTATAATCCAGTTTTGTGAATGGGTGCATCCATAATGTGTAAATGTCGGAGGAGAAATGAAGCAAAAGTTACAAGTAATTACTTAAAGGGGGGACGGCATACTTCATTTAATTTGACCAAGAATAGGAATATAGATATGATGCTGCAAATAAAATGGTGAGTAAATCTATAGTTTAAAAGTATGGGTTTAGTTGAATCATGTCAGTAAGTGATTACACGTGTTATAAACTAGGTTCCATGTCAACAGTGAGTTTTTTGGTGGTATTTAGAGAAGCAGGCTGCAAAGTGTCCTAAATGAATTGACCAGGCTTTAGCGGTGCACGCTAATTGAATCCAAAGGTCAATGGGGTGCAGAGTAGCATATCACTCCAGCTCTGATCCCCTGGCACATTACCACACATTATGACCACATTATTCATTACATTGATTCATATTGAAAATGTGAATCATTTCCACTGTACCTTTTTAAATCATTTTAAATGTTATTAGATATATTACTCATATACAAAAAAATATGTTCTTTGTGTGTTTTGCCACCATGTATGTATGTTAAATAAAATATTACAGAGATTACTGATCACAGAGTTATGTGACCAGCTGACAGGGAGTGGACAGGAGTTTATCAGTCTTGCAGGAAACCATGACAACTGCTCTGACATTTACTAAGAAATCAATCAAGTCCCATTGATGACTCAGTAATATCTTATGTGTTTATTCTTTATTATTTGACATCAAACTTACACACTCTCCTGAAATGTTGGTCTTTATGCACTGAACTGGCCCCTTGTTACTGTCGTTGTCAGGCTGTAATAACACACACTAAACAACATTAGAATGGTAACATTCAGCAACACGTTTTATTTTCTTCTTTCTGTTGAGCCCCTGCCAGCGTAGTCTTCATTGATTCTGTGCTTACGCAACTTCTTACCTCATGCAACAAAAAAAAGACAAAGATAACGTATGTAGCCAGTGTTGTACATTTATTTATGTTGTACATTGTAAATTCAACTATAGCTCTTATTGCTGGTTGGGTCTTATGTAACACACTTAATATTCCTCAGACCCAGCTTTCAATAGCGTTTTCTATTTTTTTTATTTTTTCATTGCATACAAAGCTGAACTTCGATTATAAATAGTAAAACTTAAACCACATTAAAAAAGGGTATCTTGATTTTTTTGCACGTAAAGCTGGTCTGGTCTGTTGTACTATTGATCTTAAAGGTCAAGTCATATTGAGTGAGTTAAGTTACAGTGAAAGAGAATAACTTCTGACCCTTGATTTGAAGCTTCAGACCCACAGGATACACTTAATCAAGAACCCAGACACACACACACATACACAAACAAACATACACACACACACACACACATGCACACACAGATCAAGCTGGTCCGGTCAGGAGGATGAAATCCTGTCTTACTGCATATCAGCCTGATGCTCGTCTAATGAGCAGTTTGGCAAAGTCTAAGATGAAGAAGAAAATCAATCATGTATAACACCACAGCGAGCCAGAGAATTGTCAAATTTGTCAGCTAATTTCATGCTAATTGAGTCCCCAACCCGGGGGTTATTTTTAACCTCATCACTGCTCCAATCACGTGGAATAGTGAGCCCTTTGCTCACGTGTCATTAATTAAGCTAAAAAGATCAATCATAATTTTCTTTCTCCCCCCTCAGTGCCCGCCAGGATCACTAACATATCAAAGGACATCACAGTGAACGAGGGCAGCAACGTTGATCTAATGTGCCTGGCGGTCGGTCGACCTGAGGCCAACATCATATGGAAGCATCATTCACCAAGAGGTAAGTTTTATTTTATTTAAAACCCTTTCCCGTATAGTGGTCACTACAGTGGACAGCTATTCAAAAGCCAGTGTCTTGTATATGCCTGGATTTGGATGGTGAAGTTGCATATCAGTCACTACAGTGAACAGTCCTTGAAAACCCCATAGGCTTCCACCTAGTTGCAACCACATGTTAGTGCAGCTACAAACCCCAACATCCAAGATGGCTGATGAAACATCAGGTATGCTAAGCACATCAGGAATATTTGTCCATTTCCTCTTTAGAAGATTCTTACAGGTAAAAAAAAACAATATGGTGATAACAAGTAACTTCTAGGGAACAGTATTATTGTTAGATCTGTGTAATATTGATTTTGTACAAGTTTTCTGCTTGTACAAAATCAATATTACACAGATCTAACAATAATACTGTAATATTGATTTTGTACAAGTTTTCTGCTTGTACAAAATCAATATTACACAGATCTAACAATAATACTGTTACAATCAATAATGTGTCAACTAAAGAGGACATTGTGCATTACTGGTTATAATTTTCCATAAAAATTATGTTGTAATAAAACTTTACAAATGTGTTAAAATTTTATCAATAGAAAAATTACCTCAGTAAAGTCCATATCTATTAGAATTATATCATTTGCAGGGTGTTTGACACAAGACAGTATTTTGTTCTAATCAAGTCTATTGTTTTACTGGCAATTGATCATCATTTTGTATGTCCTGAAGTTCCCCCAGGCAAATGTAACATGTTAAAAATGGCTTTTTTTCTTGCAGCATCCAAAACCCAAAGATATTCAGTTTACTGTATATGTATATGTTAAAATATAGGAAAAAAAATTATATATATATAATACATAATACATATTTTTTTACTTTTTTTTAACTGTCACAAATTGAAATTTAATGTTCACAGTTTTTACAAAATACACTATTTTATTTATTACACTGTTACTGCATATCTATTAACATTTAAAGTTAAAGGCATGCTGTCCACCAGAGTGGACATGTCAAAAACTTTATGAAAAATAAATGTAAACTAAAAAATAAAATTGAAAATATTTTATTCCCCTCAAATAAAGTATATAAACAATTAAGACAAAAATTGAATGCATTTATAGACCGGAGATTTCTATGTGCAGTTAGTTACAGTAAACAGGATCTCTTGGTATATAAAGAACAATCTTTAAAAAGAAATCCTTACTTGAGCTCTGTAATGTGGACATTTCAGAAAGTTTTCATCATTTCTCTCCACTGTCAAAGGTAATTCATAAAATAAATGTGTCAGACAAAGCTGCAACAGCATTACCTCAGTGTAAAGGTAACTGAACCACCCCTCCTACACATGTTGCCTTATGTTGACAATCCCACGCAACACACACCTCCAACATTTGCTTCACATGAATATTCGCCTACGCAAAGAATAGCCGTTTACCTCCAGCAGGATATGAATCTGTGGCTTTTGTGTTCACATCGGCACCAGATGATGCATGTTGAATAATGCCAGGCTTTAATCTATTGACTAAGGCCTTGTTTTCTTCTCAACTCGGTGGATTTGAGGGGTTGAAGCTGTACAACCTGTGGCCTGACAGGACCCAACTCCAATCAACCGTGATTTGGCTGGAGGCCACAGCTGGTTCGGTTTGTTCTGTTGTGTTGGCACCTCGCAGCCTGAAGGAGAGCCAAGAAGCTCTGCACGCCTGCATGTGTGCACTTGCATGTGTGTTCTGTGTTCTAATTGTGTCGGCACTGCGCTTCCTGCTGAACGTTCAGCGGTGTGAGTCATGCACTGCTTCTCTATAGGATCAGATGTTCAGCCTCCAACATGACATGAATGCTTACAGCACAGCTGGTCCTTCCTCCCTCCACATTATCTGGAGCCTGCAGAATCTGGTTCTCACAGCACAGATGCCCTCTGCCACCTCAGCCATCTCTTCATTTACTGGTTCTTCAATATTTACTCCCAGTATCATGATCTCCTCACAAACCATTTCTTTGAAGTGCATTGTAATTACATTCAAAAATAACTTTAACCACCACCAGCCAGATGGTGCCATTCACACTGTCTGTAACACCCCTCCTGGGTCTGCACCCAATTTCATGGTTTTTATATACACAGAATTTGACACTTAAAAGCTAATATTACCTCTATTGTTATATTTCTGTCCGATACGAGCAACTGCAAACTGTACTAGAGAGCCGTCGACATTGCAATTACTGTGTTTACAATAGAGGCTGATAAAAGTCACATTAAAAAATGTCTTTAATGCTGAGATCCTTTTGTTCGCACCCTCTATTCACAAAATCACAAATAAAAGGAGAAGACAAACTTGAGGACAGAGGATCTGAAAATAAAAGAAGAGAAACAAACACAATGAATGATTATATTATAGACACTGTCAACATAGAAAATCATAGAAAATCATAGAAAATCATAGAAAATCACAGAAAATATGCCATGTGGTTTAAAACTGATCCGGTAGTCATCAGAAAGCGTAGTGGCAAATAAAGCAATAGAATCACACTACAGCAAAGTTATATACAGGCATCCATCGCCAAAGAGCTTGATATGCTGCATTTGTGTGTGTGTGTGTGTGTGTGTGTGTGTGTGTGTGTGTGTGTGTGTGTGTGTGTTATTGTCAGCAGGAAAGATAATGGGTTATCTTACTTGACACTGCTCTGAGTTGCACTAATGAAAAGGGGGAGATGTTTGGGCAGCAAAGAAATTCTCACTGGGAGTCAGAGTCTTAAATGTTTTTCCTGCAGAGTGGCATTTTCCTGACTGGCCCCTCACCGTTTGCTTTTCATGTTTGTCACCAGCGATAATGGACTTTTCCCTCAGAGGATAGTGTTTGTGTCTGTTAGTACAGCAGTGAAGTGAGCAGCCTTCTCCCAGAGTTAAACCGCATTTCTAGAAAAATTTCAAAACAGCAATGTGGTCTGCCTTTGCCATTTGATAGTTCTTTTTTTTTTTTTTTTTTTTTTTTTTTTTTTTTTCTTTTTCTGTGGCAATATCATTTAAAATTTCCACACTGGCACAGGTGTCAGGGACATGATTCAGAAACATGCCTCACCTTTTACTATGAAAAGTGACATGAGAAAATTGGCTCGGACAAAATATGTAAATATGAGAACAATATTAAAGTTGCACTGCCTAATTTCAACCTATTCTCACTGGTGAATATGATCTCATCGTTGAATGAAGGGAGACGCTGAAGCCTCTATGCCAATCAATCCTCCAACAGAAATGCTGACATAAGTAAGAGTTGCGCAGAGAGTAGTAGCCCATAAATGTGTTGCCTCTGAGGTCGTTTTACTTAATATATGTACTGTGTCAATTTAAGCCTAACCTTTATTTTGTGCACTGCAGTCCCCATTTCAACTCAGTGGGGTCTACATAAATTATTCAGCAGTGTCCACTGAATCCCTGGATGCTGGCCACTAAAAGGATTAGAGGATATATAGGTGGGGAAAACAGTTTGTTCAGGGGACAATGCAATATGGATCCATTCAGCCCATTAAGACTCATTAAAGTGGACAGGTTGTGAATGTACACTCTCTTAGATGTCACTTTGTGCCCTTCCTTTTCAAATTATGACTGGACGGTGGCTGTAATATGTGTTGTCCTTTAGCAGTGTTGTGACTAAGCTGTTATTGGTATTGGCTGTAAGTTACAGTGAATCCTTCTTATACATAGTGTCACAACAGGAGCAACAAATACTGTTGCATTGTAACAACCATGCACCTTCAGTTTACTGAGTTTAATGATTTCATGTTAAAGCAATAAACTCTCTCCTTTTAAGACCATACTCTAGACACTATGTTCGTATACTAGTATACTTCGTATACTAGAAATATCACACAAAAGGGAGTAATGCACTGAATATCAGCACGGCTGAGATTCGGTCGTAGGTAGAAGGTTATGAATTGTTTGTTGATGTTCCACAACTCATTATGAGTCACAATTCACATTGTAGTCTCTGTATGTTTATATAAAGCATCTCACCTATGCCGACTCACTGCCATGATCTCCCTCAACCTCGAGCCCCACATCAGACAGTTTCTGTATGGTGGTGGCTCTCACGCTGTGGTTGGTGTAAAGATGTGTGTGTCCCTGACTCTTTGCACACCCTGGGCAGCATTTGTGACAGCTGGTTTACTCTCAGAGGAACGGCGGTACACCAGAAGCTGTCTGTCACCACTGTTACCCTCCTGGGCTGCAGACGGAGGGCTTTTGCACCTGGTGGAATTTTGCTCAGGTATTTTTCGAGAGACGCTACCGGGCAGAGGGGATTTCCTCAATCCTCAAACATATAGTGACCCTCCAATTTTCTTTGTCTCTCTCCAGTGGGTCTTTATGGTTTTTTGTTTCTTCATTGAATGTCATGGTAAAATACTTGGTTCCATTCTCGTCACATTTTTTAGGGGTTTAGATCTCGATTCCCTTCTTTGCCCCTGTGTCCAAAGTCCAACTGAATATTGTGCCAAACCTCTTGGACTGTCTGGATTTAGTGTTGCAGAATATATTAAGATGGGCTTGTCTTCAGGCAAAATCAGGAGGTGGTTTGTTGTTTTGTCTGTCCCCGCTCTTCTAATCTCTTTTACAACTACCTTTGAAAACATTATTAACCGATATGAATTCTGGGCCCTGCATTAAAAATTCCATGAATGGCTAACCGGAGGCTCGTTGATTTAGCAGTTTAAACCAGCCCGACGTCCAGGGTAGCTGTGATGCTGTAGAAATCCCCTTTAGTTGTCCAGGTGGATCCGTAAAACTCCCTCAACACTGTATTCAGCTCGCTTCTTCAATGACCGTTGATGTTTATATTTTTGATGCTTAGCCAAGTCTGAAAGCAGTTCAAAGCCCATGTTGTCTGCCTTTCAGTGGTGGCTTCATTTTTGTTCTTCTCAAATTTGTCGAGGTCAGCTGATATGAGCGCACCTGGAGGTGTGCACCAAAGTATCAAGGCTTCTTTCCTTCCCTTTATCCTCTTCTGATGA